AATTTGATAATAAATAAATATATTAATCAAAATCCAAATGTCCATTTCCAGATCTTGATCTTGAGATCACACCTCGCGTTGGCGGTGTTAGACGAAGTTACATTTTTCCCCTTGGGTACCACCAGCTCCCCGTGTATGCCCTCGCAGCTGATCCTGATCCCCACCTTCCTCACCTTCATCTTTTCCGCTTTTACCCCTACCGTCGTCTCCACCACGATTTTCATCGCCGCCCCACTCTTCTTCCTCAGATCCTCCCTCAGCGACCGCGCATCGTCCCCATACAGCAGCCGCCCGCTCGCAGCCGCCGCCGCATGCACCGCCGACACGTTCCCTGGCGGGCTTTTGAAGCCCGCGGCGGAGCCGCTGCACAGGACGACCGACCCCGACCAGACGGAGACCGTCGCCGGACCGTACAGGTACGTGATCCTCCGGTTATTGGGGTTTCTCGCCGAGAGCGTGACGCTGGACGCGGCGGTGAGGCGCGTCGTGTCGTCGGACGGCGCAGTGGTGAGGTTGAAGGCGGAGATCCTGAGGGAGGTGACGGAGAACAGTGGGCGCCGGGGGTGGTACAGCGCGTAGAGGGCGGCGGCGGCGACGGCGGCGAGGAGGAGGAGACCAATCAGGATGAGGAAGGTCCAGAGGCAGGCGAGGCAGCAGCACCGGCGGCAGCTGGGGCGACGGCCGCCGCGCTTCTGCGCGGGGTGGGAGGTGGGGGTCGGGCGGTAGGGGTGGCGCGTGGGATTGTAGAGGTGGGATTTGGCCGGCGGAGGGTTGGGGATTAGCGGCGGCGGCGGCGCGGCGCCGTTTGGCTTTGCTGATGGGTAAGCTCTGTCAGTCATTATTTTTTTGGGGGAAACCAAAAAGAGACTGTGTGTGTGAAGAGAACTGAAGGGGGGAAAAATAGTGAATTAGAGTCGGAAAATAGTTGTAAAATGTTTAAAAAAAGTAAATGCTCTCAAAATTAAAGAAACTGGAAAAAGATATGTGAAGTGAGGATAAAGAAAGTGTATTATGCCTATAATAATAATTTTGCATTTTTCTTTTAAGATTTGATAATTAAGAGAAGAGGAAAACAGTGAGAAAACAGCTAAGGAATGGTTCCACCTCATCAAGATGTGGAGATCTCATTATTTTTGGTTTATCCAAATTCTTTGTATTTGTTAAACTAACAACTAGGCGGTTCATTTTGTCATAAGTTTTCATTAAAATATATATTTATATTGAAATATGTAATATTTTTCTGTATATTATTTTCTAAAACGTATCACATTCTATTTAAAAAAATATGTATATTTAGTAAAATATTATATTTGCTTAACGGTTCAAGCATGCTTTGCCTACCAGTAGACCTAATGATGTTTTTTTGTTAGATTTATAATATGATTTCATTTTTATTGTAACTCTACGTATCGTCTTTCATTTTCTGAAATAATAAATCTAATTCTCCACAATGCCATTTTGTGTTGGTGAGTCAGTGAGTGCATGGATATATATATGGTTTTGTATATTTATGTGTGTGTGTGTGTGTGTGAGAGTGAGTGGGGTCTCTGATTACGAGGTGCCTATTTTCGCAGTGTACAGGCTATGAGGACACGTGGACGTGGGGGGCCCACTTAAAACAAAACCGGAACACTCTTTGTTTCGACCGTTTGGGTCAGCAAATTCATGGGCCTCATATTCTTGGCTTTGAATCAATCAATTTTGTGTCCACACACAAATTTTGTTGTGTTATCAGCTGTGTGTGTGGTGTGCACGTTCGTGTTAGGTCAATTTTAAGGTTAAATTAAAACTCATACATATCGGTTCATTATTAATAAAAAAAACTTGCTAGCTCTATAAATAATAAAAAATTATAGTCTGCCTAACTGTTAGACAAATTAAATCGTCGTAATATACACAAAAATGCATTTTTATACAATTACATGTCATACTTCTATTTTTAATATATTTCAAAAGATTATGCATATTTACAAAAGTAATATTTGATCTAATGGTTAGATCGACCTCACACAAAACCTATCGATAGATAATTTATGTGGCCCTCACGCTGTTATATAAAGAAAGATTTTTTTTTTTATTTAAACAGTTCACATGCTTCAATTTGGTCTAAAGAGAAAAATGACCTCACATTTTTCTACTAATTCATTAAAATGTTGCTGTCACGTCTTATATTGCATTTATTGCAAAAGGAATAAAAAAGAGTAACTTCTAATTGAAATGAGTACTTTCAATAACTGATAGTGTACCAATAATTTCAGTATGGGCAAACCATTTTTGGTTGAAATTTAAGTGAGCTTTTTTCATAAATGGTTTGGAGCAATAATAGTTGAATAATAATGGTCTTGTACACCAAATTTACTAGGTTGGCATTGAATTATGGATGAAAAAAGTTAGTTCCTTGACTACATACGGTGAATTTCACCACTGAGGGTAGGACCAGTATACAGCAAGGTCTAACCGTAAAATCAACGTACTTTTTACACGTACGGATGCGTGTACGCGTGAACTTGATGGTTCAGACTTTGGTGCCGGCACTAGGATTGAATTCTCTCGACTTAGACATGGTCATTTATCGAATATTCAATTCCTTTGAAGTAATTATATAACATTATATATAATATAGAATGTAAAATATTGTTCATAATATATATATATATATATATATATATAAATATTACAAACAAAAATATGTTTAATATTTAAAAATATATTCATCTACATTCACCTAATTTCTAAACAAACAAATTTCGAACTGAATCACAAATTTATTTCGATAAGGAATTGAATACGAGTTGTCAAATATTTTCATGAATCCAAACGCTTCCTTCAATTAGATTCGTCTACAGTTCTAGTTGCAACCAATGGTAAATAATAGAAATTGCAAATAGATTTTATTGAATAAGTAAAATTTATATCTTTTACTGTTTTACGGGTTGTATTCTTTTTTTTTTTTTATTTGTCNTGGAAAGTTTAGAGTGTATTTGCATATAAAATATCTCTATTCTTACTCAATTTATATTTAAAATATAACTCAACTTTAAATCAACCCCACTATCCTCAATATTATAAATATAATTTAATAATATCAACCTATCATTCTTACACATCACATCAACTTTAATTTACTATTCATCCCCTCACAGTCACATAATTTTAACTAACTATTACTTCATATCATCTCTCTCATACTTTTAAATCATATCAATTTTGATTATTTTATTTTAAATATTATTTTAATATAAAATCAAAATCTCACTAATAATTAACCATATTTTTTTTTTCAAAATTAACTCTGGTTAACCAAAAAAACTCATTTTGAGCGGATATTTTTTGTATACAAACACGCTTAATCATTAGGTTACCAATTTTTTTCACACATTTACATATATTTATATAAACTCAGTTGTACAAGAGAATTAAATTTATTTACGTATGATGATCTTTCTTTTTGGAAAGAATTATATCCAACCATTGATAAACAGTGCAAAAAAACACACATGATGGTGAGATGGGTCAAACAAATTAATTAATGTGTGCTGTTTCAAGTTAATTCTAAGTATATCATACTATATTTGGAAGGACATAAATTCATGTGTTTAGCACCTAACTTCATACGAACCTGCCTTTGTAATGTAACGAACCCATTCCACAGTGTTGTACCCACTCTTTTCCCATACCTGCAGATAACAAATCAGTTAGTGCAGATAATACAATAAATAAGCAATAAATATGGATAAAATAAATCACATGAAGACTGTTAAAAACACCTTTAGGAAACGAACACGCAATCCGGATGCCGTGAACATGGGAACCTGCAAGAGAAGTAGTTTTGAAGAAAGTTTTCTAGACAAAATTTGGTTTTCAATTGGTTTCATTCTCGATTATTTTTATCAAGTCTTTAAATGATGCAATAGAAAATATCAACTGCATCATTATTCTGTAACTTTTAAATGATGCAACAGAAAATAATGCAATGCAACAAATTGAATAATCATGATGCAAGAGATGTTTACTTGCTTAGAGACCTGAAATTCCATCTGAATTGGAGGCCGAGTCCATGACTTCTTTTCGGTCATTGTTGATATTAGCTCTACTTCAGCACTCAAAGTTGGCTCAGTTTGTCCAGGAAATTTTCTTATCCTACCAGAGCAAGCAGCATTGCCATGACCAAGCTTAGCAGAGAAAGAGAGATGGCTGTTGGGGTTTCATTTATCAAGTATGATTCTTTTTCGTGAACTTCATCAATAAAAAAGGTTGTTTAGCAGCTTTGGTATGATTAAAAAAAACACACACACACACACAAATTCATAAATGAAGTTTAGGAGAACAAAAGGTTGTTTTGCAGAAAGCAACATACAATAATGCTATCATTTGGTTTTCCCCACAACCAATCAGAGTTGTGTTACATATTACAGAGTAGGTGAAGTAAGTCAGCAGGAGTTCACAACCTTGGTTTGCGGTTAATCATTACATTCGATGTCATTTCAAGAAAATTGCAGGTCAACATTCCAAAGTGCCTAGATTGCTTAGATATTTCAAATAAGTCTGAATTATGGTGATTTGGTAATTTTCTTTCTTCTCATTCACATGATAGAACATATGATTCACATTAATCCTTTTAATGAAAGAATAAGCAGAAAAAGTCCAACAAACAACTAAAACAACTTACTTCCACACCAAGCAGTCAATAGAAGGACTGTACTTTGCTCGGCCTGATGTCACTTGAAAACTTGTCTTTGCCGTTTGCTTAGGTACTGGGATCTTAACAACCACACCGAGTGCAAACATTTTTGCCCCAAAAACACTCTTTACCTAAAATGAATGAACAAAGTACGAGTCAGAAACGTGGCTAGTTGTTCCCAACAATTCAAACTAAGAGTCGATGACTGACCTTTACATTCACTTCCATACGTGTTCGACCCAATTCCTTGATAGTCGGCAGAACCCGAAATGGAAGATTAACCCCTTCCGTAATACGATACCTGTAGCAAAAGCCGTAACAGTTAACAGAGTAAAAAGGCAAATGGAATCAAAAGGCCAACTGTTTGTTTGCATAGAGAAAAGAAAATTAAGAACGAGTCTTGGAATATAATATAATAATAACTTAAAGGGAACTCAATTAGTTCTCCAAATTGAAGTTCGACAAGCATTAAACCTGTTCTAGACACCAAACAATTGTTCACAAAGAACTCCTCTATATATATGCTAGAATCGGAATTTTAAATAAGTTATGACCTCATATTCAACAGATTTTGAAAATGGAAGTAGATTTATGCTATATTCATATGACTAAGAACAGACTATCAAAACAAGGTAAAGCTATTGACATTAACATAAAGTGAAATTTTGTTAACCGTAAATTAGACTCCAATTAACTTACTTCATCAACTCAAATTCACCATCTGGAGGAACAAAACTGACGGTCTTCTCTGAATTGAATCTTGTAAGGTTTACACATTGATGGAAAGTGACATCATCAAGCTCAATAGTTTTTCCGCTGCAAGATAAAACATAAATCAAACAAGGTTATGAAGAACATAATAATGACTTCTTGAAAAGACCATTCTAAAAAAGTCCATCTATTAAGATGGATTTTGCAGAATTGTTCCATTACAAGCACGAAATAACTGAGCAACTTCTCTAAGTTTCCTTATAAGTACAAGCTCTTCAAAAGACATACTATCGTTACTGTCGGGAACACAATGATGAAGTATAATGTTATTAGTTGATGGGATGTTTCAGTGTTACAATAATTGGATGTGACTGACTGGAAAGCAAAAATTCACGAGTAGATAGTGTATCACTGTATCCTCTGAAAATTTTCACAATAACATTATGTCAAGGGGAAAAAGAATCTCTAGAGAAAAATCAGTAAAAATAAATAATAAGCAATCAAACACTATCTATACCCGAAGTCCCTGACCAGCGCCCCTGGGCAGTTCACATTCAACTCAAGAACACAGTTACATGAGATCCGTCATGTCCTCAAAGTTCACATGCAAAAGTTTACAATTACAAAAGTTGTGTTTTGTTATTCTTCTCAACTAGAAGTAAAGAAGATACAACTATATGCTATCCTTGACAAGCCATTTTATTTAATTTTGTTTGCTTCCCTCCAGTTTATGAGTTGTAATCTATATAATTATCAGACAAAATACAGCTACCTTTTAGCAGGACGGGATTTAAGTTGTGACTCTTTCTCGAGCCCAATTTTGTCATTTAATCCCAACTTCAAATCAGGCATTCCAGAGAGGAAGCATTTCATAAGGATCTTGCCAGTTACATCGCAGCGTAGAACACTGCCTGCATAAGAAAAATGGCAAATAGACAACAACCTTTGATATGATTCATCAAGATATACGCAAAACACATTCACGAGCAAATGGTGACAGGAAAAAATAAATAAAAAATCCCAAGCAAATACTTTCCCTGACATGATTCAGTTTACCTTTTGAAGACATCAGAAGATTGACACTTTCCACAATATCAAGAAAGACCTAACAAGAAACCTAAATTTAGTTTCAGCTGACAATAATAACAAAGATATTGGGCAGTAATGGAATTGTTTGAAGAGACTACCTCATTTTTCTTATAGACAAGGCCTTCCCTGCGCCAGCCAACAGCACCGGTAACTTGTAAAGTTGCATTAGGAACTGGTTTGTCAGCAGCCTGCTTTGGCATTACATATGACGAAAGTCAGGATAACATACCCATAAGAAATTATTCAATAAAAGAAGTTTTGTGTATCAGGTAAATACGCGTCATATACATCTTCAACATAAATGTTGCTATAACAGCTATAGAAGATTGCAACAGTTTCTAAAGTCTAACCTTGGATGAAAATGGAGAGCGTACACCTTCCTGAGTTATGTATAGCTTCAAGATTTCGGGGGAGAGGTTTTGAGGGTACCCAAAATCCATGATTTCTGCATTTCAGAAGAGAGAAAAAAAAAAAAAGGANGAAAATTAAACTCTATTTAATTTTCACAGCAATACAACTCAAACCAGTTCCTTGAACTAGAAGCCACATTTTGCCAACAGATAAAAGTTTCAGTAATGATAAGACTTGTATAATGGAAAACAATTTGCAAACAGGATATTATCTCCATTTGTCATACCATCCAACAGTTCATATATCAAAACAAAGTTATTGCGTATAGCATCCTCATCAAAAGCTCCACCAAAATAAGATTTAAATAATGTGACTGCCTGCATGAAAAGAAGCTGAACATGTCAAATACATTAAAAGGAACACCTAAAGAAGAATCGGAGACGCATTAACATATCATTCAGAGCCATAAAACTTGACCTAAAACACATGGTGTAAGATTTTTATAACAACTAAAGCTCTGATTATTTATAACTAGAACCAATAAATGAGTGAATCAACTGAGATGAACTATAAGGTATCAGAAATTACATACCTGAAGTTGAACATATTCATTAGTTCCTTAGACCAAAACATAACTTGTGACAGATGAAATCTCGAGAAAAAAAGTGCGACATAATTCTAGTTCATAAAGATGAGATACCTCAACAACGAACTTGAATGCACAAGCAACATTCGCATTGCTGCTTACAACAATCACGATGTAAACATTGCTAATTCTCATGTAAAAGAAAGAACAGCCCCCAATCTGCCTTACAGGACAAGTGCCAAGTTCCTTCGTTTGCATTATATGCACTCGAAAAGCATCCACCATGTTGCCTCTGCTTTTCCAGATGAGAATGGATTAGAATTTGGTTTTATTCTGCTATGCAGTAAATATTTTTTTATAAACCTAAACATGATAATCAGCAACAATAAGAAACAAATAAAATAAACAGTTATCTCATTAAAATGGCAGCAGAAATATTCGAATAAACTAGCAGACTTAAGTTCTCAATAGGGGTAGGCATTATGTTCGAGGCGACTTATTCAGTTACGGTTCAATTTCTGAACTAACATTTTTTGGGTTGCTGATTGGGTTTCCAGTCAACCAACTTAAGAAAGTGAAAAGAAACGAAAATATTTTGAAAAGTTGTAATTGTAACTCCACCAACTATCCAAATAAGAAATGAGAATATTTTGAAATGCTGTAATTGTAACTCTACCAACTATCCAAATCACACAAACCAAAATCTAAAACAAAGTCGATGTTCATAACTCTATGGTCCAAGCAATCTAGTTTCATAATACCAAGTGAGTTGTATGTTACAAACCTTAGGGTTTTAGACGTATGAATATGCACAAGTGAGGATAGCCACATATATATATAGACTTAGGGCCTTAAGCAATATGGGTTGGGCCTATAATATTATAGTTAACACCCCCCCTCAAACTCAAGGTGGAGGTGGAGGATTCGAAGCATTGAGTTTGAGCAAGTGAAGCCGATGTTGCTCTCTAGTTTGTTGACCAAATCAGACATCTGAAATTGTTGACCAAGTTACTTCTTAACATGGGAAATATGCTCTTCATCATCTCTAGTAATCAGCATATCATCAACATATAGAAGAAGTAGAGTACGCCCACGTGAAGAGAGATGAATAAACAAAGCAGGATCATGATCACTAGGGGAGAAACCAGCAGCAGCCCGTATGACAGAAACAAAACGCTCAAACCAAGCACGAGGAGCCTGTTTGAGACCATATAATGCGCGACGAAGACGACAAACATGTCCAGAGGGGGCATCAACACCCGGCGGTGGCTGCATATAAACTTCCTCATGCAAATCACCATGAAGGAAAACATTCTTCACATCCATCTGAGATGTAGTCCAGGAACGAGTAGCGGCCACTGCAATTAAAGTACGAACAGTAGTCATGTGAGCAACGAGAGCAAAAGTCTCATCATAATCTCGCCCCTGAGTCTGCTGAAAGCCTCTAGCAACAAGACGAGCTTTATATCTCTCAATGGAACCATCTGACTTGGTCTTAATCTTAAAGACCCACTTACAGGTGATAGGCACGGCATGCGACGGTAACGGAACAAGATCCCAAGTGCCAGTACGATCAAGGGCAGCAAGTTCCTCTGACATAGCTAGTTGCCACTCTGGAATACTCGAAGCTTCCTGATAGGTTGAGGGCTCATCAATAATAGCACCCGCACGTGGAAAGCCCAACTTATCAGGAGGAACAATAGTAGCACGATCACGTAAATTATATCTCTGACCAACCTCAGATTCTTCAAGAATGGCATGTGACACATCAGAATCATCTAGGACGGGAGCATCAGGACTGGCCAATGGAGTAGAATGAGGCGGAAGAGTTGTGTGACCTTTGGAACGACGGGTATAAACTTGCGTGATGGGTTGTTTATATGGTGGAGGCTCATCATGAGTGGAAGATGGAGAAGAGACAGAGACATCATCATCAAGAAAAGAAATAGGAGGAAGACATAAAAATGACGTAGACTCTGAAGAAGAAGAAGTTGTGGGAGGAGTGGATGGGTTATAAAAGAAAGGACGATCCTCGACAAAAGTTACATCACGAGATATACGCATGCGGCGAGCGGAAGAATCATAACAACGATAACCCTTATACTCAGAACTATATCCCAAAAAGACGCACTCAACCGACTGAGCAGTCAGTTTAGTGCGCTCACGAGGAGCAAGCAATACATAGCATGTACATCCGAAAACCTGAAGATGATCATAGTTAGGGGAATACCAAAAAGAACCTCACCAGGACACTTACCAGACAGTTTGGAAGACGGCTGTCAGTTAATAAGATAAACAGCTGTAGACACAGCTTCTCCCCAAAAATGAGAAGGAACAAAAGAGGCAATGAGAAGGGTTCTAGCAGTCTCAATGAGATGGCGGTGTTTTCTTTCTGCAACACCATTCTGAGCATGCGCACCAGGACATGAGAGCTGGGCAAGAGTGCCCTCAGAAGTAAAAAAAATTGACGAAAATTGTTAGACATATACTCACCACCAGAATCAGAACGTAAAACTCGAATAGGAGTAGAAAACTGAGTATGAACCATGCAAACAAAATCTTTATAAATGGAACACAACTGAGAACGATGTTTCATAAAATAAACCCAAGTATATCGAGAATGATCATCAATAAAAAGAACATAATATTTATTGCCACCTTTTGTAGAAAAAGGGGATGGACCCCATACATCAGAGTGAATAAGATCAAATGGTCTAACAGAATGAGAAATACTAGTAGGATATGGGAGTTGCAGCTGTTTTCCGAGCTTGCAACCCTTACAATGAAAACTAGACTCGATAGATGTACGACCTAAACAACCAGTACTAATCAAAGTAGACAAACGAGACCCACTCAAATGACCAAGATGATGATGCCACTTGGCAAAAGATGATGTGGAAGACGATGCAATGGATGACACACGAGCGGTAGAACCAGAGGGAAGATGTAAAGTGTCTAACACGTAGAGGCTCGGAGAACCTTTACGACGATGGCCAGTCCCAATCACAGCCCCGCTTCGACGATCCTGAATAAAACAAGATGAATCATCAAATCCAACAAAACAGTTTTGATCAGTGACCTGACCAACGGAAAGAAGATTCATAGATAATTTAGGAACATAAGAAATATTAGGCACTGAAAACGAGAATTGCAAAGAAAACCCTCATGAGTGATATGGCAAGAAGTGCCATCAGCTGTCTGAATAGAAGCACCATCGGGGACCGCCTTGCAGGCAACCAACTGGGAGTGATCAGATGTCACATGAAAAGATGCTCCAGAATCGAGAACCCAAGACTGAGGAGCATGGACAGGAGAGGCAGCAGCGACGGAAACAAACCCCTTTGTAGCAGAAGTCGTACCACGAGCCCGAGCAGCACGACGCGCACGATACTCAACTAACTTTTCTGAATGCTGAGTAAAACAATTCTCGTGACTGTGACCGGTCTTCCCACAATGCTTACAGGGTTCTGGTGAGTCACCTCTGGGTGCACTAAGCCGTTGAGAAAATGTCCTTTGAGGAGCTGCCAGAACACTCTGCGATACGGACGGCGGAGCAACTGACAGAGAATGAAGACGAGTCTCTTCAGCAATCAATTCAGATAATGCCTGTGCCATGGTCCGAGTAGAGGAGTTATGAAGCAACCGTGTACGAATGGACTCAAATTCTGCTCTGACTCCCATGACAAAGCGATAATAAAGAACTTCTCAACAAATTTATGTGCTGAACACTCCTCTGCCGAGCACTGAGGTACCATAGAGATCAATGGTCCCATCAAACGATCAAAAGCAGAGTAGTATTCATCAATGGACATGGAGTTCTGTTCAATCACGTGAATTTGTTGCATAAGGGTGTGTAAGAGGGCACCACTATCCTGAACATAGCGCTGCTACAAATAGGACCACATCCCTTTGGCTGTCCGAAATGAAGAAAGGCTCATAATCATGGACTGCTTGACACTGTTGACGATGGCAACCATCACTTTTCCATCATTGATCTGCCATATTTTGATTTCGGCACATTGCTTTTATCGGCCTTCCTTTCGGGTCCTTCATCAGTCAAGTGAAAAGCCAAATCGTAACCCCTCAACACTGTTTCAACAGAGAAAGCCCACTCCCGATAATTCTGACCATCAAGAGTAATATTGATAGCAATTCCATGAAGTTGCGACATGATTTGACAACCACGTAGCAACGAGCCGCGATGAAGTATGAATGAAAGCGCTGCGACGGGCAGCGTTTAGGCACACAATTTGTGAGGGACAACAAAAAACAGAAATTGACGACGGTCGGGACAGATTAGAGTACAAAAAACCCTAACCCCGAAGAATGACAGATCTGAAAATGCACAAAACGAACACTAAAACCTCTCGAAACACAAAACGAAGAACGCTGGCAGCACGAGCATAAAATTCCGAGTTCACGAATGGTCGTCGGAAAAAATTCCGGCCAGCCACGCGCCCACACGCGCTGGCGCGTGGGATTGGTGGCAGAAAACTTCCGGCGGCGCGTGTGACTCACTCGCGCGGCTTCTGACGGTGAAACTTCGCCGGAAGGTTGATCTCGGGGCGGCAATTTGATTGGTGTGGGAGGTGAGATCGAAAAAAAAAAATTTATGTGTAAGTCTCTGATACCATGTTACAAACCTTAGGTTTTGGACGTATGAATATGCACAACTGAGGATAGCCACATATATATAGACTTAGGGCCTTAAGCAATATGGGCTGGGCCTATATAATATATAGTTAACATTGCACACCATAAGAACTACAAAATGCTATGTCAACTCTTCATCAAGAACCAAAGACATGCATTACCAACATAGCAAAAAATACACCTCAAGGGAAGAAAGAGAATGAATGAAAAATTTCTTTACACAGACTCAAGATTGGAAACCAGCAACACTACTCTAAAAAGCAGCACCTTAAGATCGGAAACACTTTCAATTACTAATTCTAACCGAAAAATTGCAAGTTAATAACCGAACCAAATATTTGGCTTAGGTTTTGTTTCTGAGCAAATTTTCGATTTCAATTGGTTTATTCAGGCGAACCAACCTGTGCAGTGGCCACTGTGCACACCTACGTTCTCGTATAAGATCCTATGGTCAAAATGTTTGAAAATGAATGAGAAGCTGAATCTCCAACTGAGCAGCAACATGCATTAATCAGCATACGACATTATAAGACTCAGAAGCCTAGAACAACCATAATTGTTTAGATTGAAAAACGATAACCAAATTCAACATGTTTGTGTACCATTTGCTGAGAAAGACCTACAGGTGATCAATCAATCCAACACGATGCCATTAGTTCAGCAAAATGGTGGAATGATCCGAATTATGGAATCGTGAAGGTCTGGAAATGACAGAAACACCACCACATGCACATGCAGATTCCTTTGTTACATGTTGCACATTGACCAGCTCCTTCTGTACAAGCCAACATCATAACACTACTTCCACACCAGTAATACCAAATTGCACAATAGAATTTTTAATACTTGATAAATGGGCTTGGGTAGAACCTTAGAACTCATCCCAAAATACTAGCTCAAAGAGAGAGGGTGCCCAACCCACACTTTACACAATAACAGCTCAGTAACTAATCGGTCTGGGGCAAACATAATTTCTCACACCGCCCTCACGTGTAGCATGCCAAATCAAATGGGCCGGGTCCAAAACCCAACATGGGGTCCAAACAAACAAGATGTGGGTGATAAATGGGTTTGGATAGAACTCATCCCAAAAAGGTAGCTCAAAGGGAGAGGGTGCCCAGCCCACACTTATACACAATAACAGCCCAGTAACTAATCAATGTGGGACAAACATCACTTCAAACAATCCTAATGAGTCTTCTGATAACTTGAATCATGGACTTTTAGCCACGTCCAACAGTAATCCATTTAATTGGCACGCGGATGATAGATAGGAGGTTAAAGGTTGCAGAGCCCCCATCAGCTTTAGTACATTGTCTATTGAGAATGTACCAAATTATGTCGCAGCTAGTAATAGCTTTGAACTGTTGATATCTGGGCTACTTATGCTACGTGCACATATATGGCTCGGATGCTACTAGAGATCCATAGCTGGTCTATTCTATAATGAGATGGACTGCAGAGTCTATGGTTTCTGATTCTAACTCTTGTGAAATAAGTGCATTTGTAAACCTTGTATGCTCATTAAAATGGCAAGAATAGTAGGGTTTCCAGCTGCTCCCATTGGCATGTTCTTTGCCAAAGGCAGCAAAAGCAACCAACCAACTGACAGTTTCCAAATTCAAAGTGTAACAGAATGTTATATAGCTCAAGTCCTTCATTCTTATTCTAGCAGCTAAGAAGCCATTTAACTCCAAGCACTTCGATGTATCTATTCACAACACAATCTGCTTACCAACCAACATCAAGGACCCAACCACCACAAGTGAGCTAGCTTTTGTCGCTCTTAACCATGTCCTCCAACATTATCTTTCAAGAACCGCAAACAGATATCAACTGACCGCAATGTCAAATCATGCTAGATCAACTTCTTACACACTGAATTCCATGTGGAACACACAATCAGAAAGAAGAAACAAAGAGGACTAACCCGACGTCGTCGCGATAGAGGCGATTGATGAGGACATCGCCACGAAGATTGAGGAAGTATATAGCGGAAGCTGCCACGGGCATGGCTACGATCTCGGCGAGCTCCGATCAACTCCGGTGAGAAGGAGATCTGATTGCCTCTTTTATACGATCGGAGATTGATTTAGAACTAGCTGTTGTTACAGTCCAGGGCAACGTAAAGTCGTAAATGGCCGAGTTTTTTTTTCTTTTGAGCTTAATCAAAATTGTCTTTATTTTTTTTTTTAATTATTCGGCCAAGACATGATTGAATTCTACCGAATTTTTGTTGTTCGAATTTCATAACTATATTTATAGAAAGTTCGTTTTATATAATAATCCAAGGACATCTCTCCACAACTATATTTAACAATATGGAACGAGAGAGAGAGGAGTTACCATTTTGAATAAAAATAATATCACTTTAAATAACAATAATTATATTCATGTAATTTTATCTCTGAAAATAATATTTATGTGTACTTTATTTTCTTAAATGTACGCTTTATCATGAAAGAGGTTTTATTAATTTAATAAAATTTTCTTTACGTACAGAAATATCTAATTACATTCATTTTTATGTGAGGTAAGAAATATTTTTTTTATAGCCATTACAAACATTGTATAATAGAAATATTACGGTTCTGAAAAGCAACACAAAAACACTTGCTCCTCCATCTAGCCAACTTTAACAATGACAGTGTAAAAACTAAAAACACATTAAGCTCAATATAGTACAGTGATCAGTGAACTTCAATACTCGCTCCTCCATCAGCCACAATCATTTCATCCCTCTAAAAAATGGTACACAATATGCTCGACGATCTTGATTTTTTGTATCACACCTCGATCGAGCAATCTTGTGAAATTGAAGTGTACTAAAGACCAGTATACTAAGTTCTACACAGTGGACATGTGACTCGAATTCAAACCAAAGTTTCACAATAAACTGAATAAGAACAAGCAAGCAATAGGCAGGCAAGATCAACAGAGCTGAGAAAAAAATACCAACCGCTTATTATAAAGGCTTAGGAAAACTCTAGCATCCATAAAGCATCCACAGTTCCTATATTGATTTAGGGTGAACACGAATTCCTGATTTGTTACTTAAAGAAACAAAGCATACCAAAAACAGTAATAAAAAAAAATTAAAGCACACCTCGAAGCCAATGATTCCATCTTTGCCACAAGCTCTAGATATTCACAACATGAGCAGCTATAATTGATTTGCACAAGGACTCGTATAGCATTTTTATGTTCATTACCCTAAGATATATAAACCAAAAGCAAAATGCGTAAATAAAACGCAAAAAGGCTACTGAGAAGCAGCACTAGCCGCGGCCTGTATAGCTCTTTGCAACTCACTCTCCACATCATTGGCAACACAAACCTCACTCTTCTTATCTTCTTTTTTCCCACTCTCTTCTCTTTCCCCTCTGCCCTTCCTCTTGCTCCTCCACTGCTCGAGCTCGGCTGAAGAAGAAGAAGAGTTATCCACACAGTGCAGCATATCAACCCGGCCCGTACGGCCCGTTTTCATTTCACCCAATTCGCGCTTCATTTCACTGTTGGCTCTCGATAAAGCATCCAACTCATTTTTCATCCAAAAGAACATCCCCTTTAGCACCTCTAATTCGCCGGAATTCCCCTGACCACCTTTCGTCTTCCTATTCTGCACATCGTAATCATTATCATCATTATCATTATTACCTCCCCCAAAATCGACCCTCTGAATACCAATTTTGTTAATTCTCAAAACCGGCATTTGGTTGGCCGCGAAATTCACCCGCCACCTGAAACTCAACTCGGCTCTATTGGACACCGGCATCAGCGTTCTCGCTGCCAGCTGCATCTTGCGGAGGATGGAACAATTTCCCCTGAATTTCTCCACTGGAAGGTCCTTCGCCGGAGAAGGAGGACTTTCCAGAGGCACGAACCCCATGGAGGAGGTCGTTGAGTCGAATCCGGTCGGGGGTTCTTCCGGGTGAGACGAGGTGGATTTACGGAGAGAGAAAGAGCCGAGCCGCGGCTTGAGGAGGAGAGAGAAGGTAGGGTTTGGGTTGCTGGGGTTGAAGGAGAAGTGAGCGGAGATGACGAGGGGGGAGTTTTTGGGGGAACCGAAGAGGCCGGAGCCCGATTTGAGAGTGACGGTGAGCAGAGGGGAGGTGGAGGCGGCGGTGGCGGCGTAGGCGAGTTTGAGAGAGGGGAAAGAGGGGAAGTTGGTAGAGAGAGAGAGGGAGATGTCGGAGGGGTGTGCGGTGGTGGTGGAGAAATGGGAAAGGAAAGGGAGGTTGAAGATTGTTACAGGGATTTTGGCGCGGAGGAGGAGTGGCGGCGGCTGACAGCAGCCCTCGCCGTGACTATGCTGGTCTTGGAGTTTCAGTGATATCTTCATTTTTATTTTATTTTTTTCTCCGCCCCTGTTGTTCACCTCAGGTTTTAATTTTATGGATTTCGACTTTGTGTGGCCATACAATTTCGCCTTTCGGTCACTCTGGAGCACCAACAATTATTATTATTATTATATTTATTTTATAAAAATACATATATATATTTTCAAAAAGGGAAAAAAACATTTTGTCATTCGAACTGTAACGATTTTCGCGCATCGCCATATAAACTTTTATTTTTTACAAACCACCACCTGAATTATAAGAGATTGTCAAATTGTCCCCTAAACCGGATACAAAATTGGTTTTGACTAAAAATAGCTGATTTTTAAGGGCATTTCAATAATTTCACATATTTTTCAAAAAAAAAAAAATAAAACAAAAATGAAGAGCAATAAAAAAACGGTTGTCTTTGCATTCATAAACAACAGCCTTTGATACTACTTCCATTCCCGTTTCATCTGCCCGAGCATGCTCGAGACCAGCAGCTGTAGCGTGTGGAGAACAATAAGCACGATTAACCGTTTTGTACTTGCGGGCCCGTGGACCGAGGAGGCAAACATTCAGGAAAGACACAACGCGCACATATGGTCGGGCCCTTGTAACCACTCACGTAGCCCGTCCTTTTTACCATGCACTGGCTTGACCATCCTTCATCATGACCCATCCTCCATCGCAACACATGTACAACCAGCAAAAATTATTACATTCCTTCGAGTTGTACCCGCAAACATTGTACAATCAGAAAACGCCAGTTGTTCGAGCTCGGCAGTGGTCCGGTGGAGGTAGATGCGTGAACTCCTATATTTTGCCTGCTGCACGAAAGGTGGAGTCCGAGCGGCGTCGGACATGAGCGGACGATCAGTGGCGGAAGCTTGGTTTGCAAAGTCGTGCCACGTTGGCAAAGTCCTGAGGAAGTCATGGAGCTCCGAGGCGACCTCCGCCCCATCACCACCGGCAATGCCATCGGCGACCGTATAGATGGCAGTGAGCTCCGCAGGGAAGTCGAAGCGGAGCAGAAAGGCGACGCCGTTGAGGGAGGACATGGCGGGGGATGAAAGGTTCAAGCAGCCCTGAAGCTATTGTCTCGCTCTTTTTCCCAGCAAATATCACACGATCACACCTTTGTTCACTTTCCTTTTAATGGTGATGAAAATATAGTCAGACAATAGAATAAACAAATAGTGATTAAAAACAAATGAAGCATTAGAGTGCACCTGGTTCTTGTTGGCATAAGTTGAACAGAGCATGATCAAGCATAGCTTTAAAACCATTCTCCTCCCAGATTCCCTTACGATTAAATCCCCTTAATTTATTTCCAGGCTGTCGGTAATTGTTTTTGTCTTTATTTATTTTTGTAGATTTTCTCTAATGTGAGGTGCAAATATGAGGAAATCGTAAGGTGGGCACATGCAAACTGGTGATGATAACATAGGACTTTTTTTGACCCATACAAGGCCGACACTTTGTGGTGTGTGTAAGTGTGTTAATTCTTGTGTTTCACTATGTATAGAGTGAGTAGAGCAAAGGCCAAAAGAGATGGAGAGATAAATATAAATAAATTTAAACAAATAAATGAATGGTTGACTTGAAGAGAGAGCGGAAGAATGCATGTAGCAGTGGGGTTTGTTGATGTCTAAAAAATGATCAACAATATGTTCGAACTGTATACTAGAATGTATACTCGGTTCGGTCTGCACGAATAGGAATTGTATGGTATTCAGTATAAAAGACAGTACGAATGTAAGCTCTATCCGTGACTTATATGGTATTTAATGAGAGCATTTACCTCCTTCATTAATGTTGCCTCTTGCTCCTTATATAGAAAGTGTGAGGACTTATTACATGCCCTTTTCAGGTTGTCTTTTCCTTTTTCACTTTACAAGATATCAATTAGATATTGAGTCACACCACATTTAATGCTAATGTACTACAAAACACCATCTCAATAAAGCAAGTACGCTTGGGCGGTGACACGCGTCCCAGATTACTGGGCGCCATTAGATGATCGATTTCTGAATCCAGCTGCATTAAATGCGTATCGTACGGACAATATCCTGGTAATGATGGGCGCCATTTGAACACGCTACTTTCATTTCACTCGGTTCCTACGTCTGTTCGGTCCTCTCGCTGTTTCCATGGTTACGAACCTAAATAGACTTTATTTAATTTAATTTTTGTGCGTTCGGTTTCTACCACGTACAAAGGCCCCCAGGTTCGGTGTATACGGGTAGGCTCAGGCCGATCATATTCACCAGAGCTGCTTCATGTGGTCCAATTGAGTCGAACGAGGCGATAAATTAAATGTGTTTCATGAAAAGTCGTGCCTCTTCACTTATCTGAGCCGACAGTTACTGGCCCCTTCTACGTGTCGTGATCGCATTGGCCCGAGGACATTAATGGCGTGTGCGATACGTTTTATTTCCTTGCACCGTTTCAGATCTGAACTACCTTGTCTCTTCAGAAATTCAAATGCTCACCTATTAATACTGCTTCTCTTCAGCTCAAAACTTTTTTCTTATTCACGCTTTCTTCAAGCTCTTAAAACGGCGAGTATGTCTACACCCTTCGAGACCTACAACGAGGAACAGTACGAAGAAGCCCTTCAGGGAGACACGACGGGCCAGTTGAGGATGCCCTTGCTCAAAGAAAGTGCTGAAGAAGACCAAAAGTTTGAGGAGTCGATTGTCGCTGTCCCAAGAGGGTATTGGCGACGACCGTATCGCGAATGGCCGTCCCAAACTTGGTACACGCTTGCCTCAACACCAAGTGTTATGACCGACGACAGGGTGGTGAGGCTACGAACTTCTATCCGACTTCCCCAAGGGTTGCGGATGTTCGCCCCGTGTAGGCAGGAACACATCCACTGTCCACCTCCCGGGTATGTGGGAGTCACCGAACGGTCTACCGCATTCGGTCTTCGCTTCCCTCTTCCACGCGTCTTGACCGGGTATCTTCGAGATTGGGGAATCGGTTTTAGCCAAGTTTTTCCACTCGTATGGCTAAGAATAATCAGCCTGTTGGTCCTCTTTCATGAGAAAGGCTGGGAAGCCCCTACCTATGATGACATTCGAGCTCTGTTTCTTTTTAAGGAGACTCGAAAAAGGTCCGGACAGTTCTCAATCTTCGTCTGGGATGCTGTCTATAGCAACTTAATAAGAAAAGTGCCTGAAACCATCAGCAAATACAAGAAATCATGGTTCAGGGTTGGTCGTCAATGGCAGACCCCTCGGTCAGAAGGGGATCCTGAAACGTCCGAATTCTTAACCGTTCCTACTAGATTTGTATGTAAGATGGGTTAGTTTAGTTTCTTTCGTTTTGCTTGTCCACTTATTTTGATTTCGATTATTTTTTGTCCGTACTAACAGGTGCGACTCGTTATTTCAGCAAATCACAAGCACGTTCCGGAGCTGCAGGATTTGTTCGTTCAACGATTGAACGAGCTACTAAATCTAGACGAATCTCTGAGAGAGTGGCCTCGCTTAGTTGAAGACGCACGTTTAGCTGGTGTTGGGCTTTGTTCGGGTCACATTGAACCGGCTTGCGAACCAAGTAAGAGTGTTCGAATCTTTTCTCTTTTAATTCCAGTCCCCTGCGTTCTTTCCCCCCCCTCCTTTCCTTTCGTTCATTTCTTTTGTTGATTACTGTCCGTTTGGCGATTTTCAGCCTACTGTTTATTGTGTTTTTGTGTTTATTTTTTCATGTGTTTTATGTGTTTTAGTTTAGTATTTTTAGGTCCATTTTAGTGTCGACCGGTCTATTCTATCGTGTTTCGTGCATTTTCATTCTCGTATTGTGTTTTTGTAGTTCGACGCATTTTTCTTGTCTTTTTGGTGTTGCTTAGGTCCACAATGTTCGAGTTCGGGAAGAGAAGCCATTTCCGAGACATTTCCAAGCCGTCCGAACTATGTCCGAGCCACGCGAACCATTTCCGAGCACATATATTAACTGCGCGACAATATCGATTTGAACATTCTAAGACGAGGAGAAAAAGATTTGAGGAGCGTGGGTCAAAGTTTTGAGTCAATCGAAGAAGCGTGGAAGAAGTTAGAGCGAATCGAGCATCAAGAGACCATGCCCGCGAGCTCGCGCCTATGCCCGCGACCTCGAGAGTATGCTCTGCCATGCCCGCGAGCTCGCACCCGTTCTCGCGACCTCGAGAGTGTGCTTTGCCGTGCCCATGCTGCTAATGCTCGCGACCTCGCGGGCGTGTCCGCGACCCCGCGAGTGCCCTTGCCCAGCGTGCCCCGCACGCGAACTTCATGGCGATGTCGCGAGTGCCGTTCCCAGCGCACCCTGCACGCGCGAATCCTTGCGCGAGGTTGAGAGTGCTGTTCCCAGCGCGCCCCGCGCCGCGCGGATTATCCCACGACATCGAGAGTATCGAGCCCTCTCGCGCCACGCCGCACCTTCCTCGTGCCGTGCCCGTGCCATTCATGCCCGCGACTCGCGAAACCGCCCGCGACCTCGAGAGTATCTTAGTAAATGTGCATGTTTTTAGTGTGTGTTTGAGGTGTAGCTATAAAAAGACATTGTGCTTTGTAATTTTGGGGACAACCCTCATTTCCCAACTTTTAAGTTGGGAAAAATCCTCTCTATTTTCTCTCTTCTCTCTCTTTTCTTTTTTTTTATGCTTTGGTTGGGAGTTCATGACTCAATTTTCCGGCGAAATTCCGACGAGTTTATTTTTATTCAAGTTTCGAGCTTTATTCATTATTTTCGTCCGGGCACACGATAGGAGAGTAAGTACCTTACTTAGGACTTACTACGTCAAGTTTGTTCTTTCGATTTTGTGTTTATGCTCGTTTCTAGGTTTTTGCTTTATTTTTATTGCTTGCTTACGTGTGTTAGGAATCTATACGTGCTTATCTAGTATAAAGGTCTCGACTTTGTTCAAAGCGTGATGATTTAGTGTAGAAAGCTCGTGTTAGATTATCTAGGATCACTATGCTCGCATGTTTTCTCTTGTTTTCTTTTATTTTCTTGAGTTATGGATACTCCGTGCAACCATTGTCTTGATCTCTCTTTCGATTCTTGCATTTTCCATCATTTGCTCTAGATTTTTAGTGTAATTTAGTGCAAATCACCCACAATCAAGCGAGTAGAATGTTTAGGACCTTCTTTTTGGTTATGTGACTTTGACGACTAGGTAGTGAACGAAGCTCCGAAGAGCCTTCCTTTGAGAACGACCTGAGTCGGGTAGCTCGGTTACTACATGCCCAAAAATACTACGAACAAAATGGCGCCGTTGCTGGGGAAGGCAAGTAGGACGCCAAGTTTGCTATCTAGTTGTTGTTTGTTTCCGTGTTTCTCTTGCTTTTTGTGGATTTTACTTGATTTTGCGTATTTCTCTTGATTATTTTCTTATTTTTCATTTCTCTTGCTTTTTGCTATGTGTGTTCTTGTACATATCGTCTCGTTTTAGTTTTGTTTTTGTGTTTTTGGTTTCTTGGTCTTGTGTGCCTTGGTTGTTTTGCTTTTCTTGTGCGAGGTACTTCGCTTGAGGAGCTCTGATGGACCCGTACGGCTATGCTTATGCCGGTAGCTCGTCTCGTGGATACCCTGACAACTACCATGAGGAGATGTACCCGTATGGTGGGCCGCCCTATCCGTTCCCGAGCCATTTTTACCCGCCATCTCAAGTTGATTTTCATTATTACTCTCCGGGTCACGACGAGACACCTCACTACTATCCACCGGCTCCCGATTATTGTGACGCTACACTTCCACCCGAGCTGACTCGAGAAGCTTCTCCAAGCCGTTAAGACGAGATTATGGAACAATTAGAGAAGTGCAACCAATCCCTCCGCACTTCATTAGCTCCCATATCCGAAAAAGAAGAAACAAGTCCTATGCTCCACCCTCTCCATCATACGAGCACCTATCGGTTGGCCAACCGTGTACATTGAGTTCCGAAGCTTCATTTTCAACAACGGTTGTGCCTTTCGAGCGTCACCAAGAGGTTTTGACGAGCACTCAAGAGGCACTTGCGAGCCTTATGTCGATCATTGAGGAGTTTCATAGTTGGAGGCTTATTCTCATTCCA